AAGGAATCCACAGTGTTTCCAAGGCAACATACTTTCCATTCTGAAACTTCATTCTGAAGCCAAGATTACCTACAGTATATAGGCTGATTTATTTCATTAGTCCCTGTCACAATACCATGTTTCTCAGAAGCTGTTGTCTGTCATAAGCATTCAAATACTCCAAAATTAACAGAGCACCATATAAAGTCCAAATTCCCTGTGTTGTAACATTTCCCGTCCTTACATGGCTTATTCTATTTTTTTAAAAAAATTCTCTCTTTAAAGACTTTATTATTTTTAAATTATTTTTATGACTATCTATGCTCTTTTTTCTTTTTCTTTTCCTTAAGCCTTTACACATTGCTAAACACACTATTACCTCTTTGAGGTTTTTCCTTCGGAAGCTGCTTTACTATGTACCTGTAACCTTTTCTGTCTGCATGAGCAAAATATTAAAGTATCAGGCAGCTTACCTCATGGCATGCTGACAGATCAAGCCAGTAGTCAGTGCCAAGGACTAGGAAACCTCATTTGGCCACATTTGGAGCCTTTTTTAAAGTTTTCTCAGGTCTTATATGGAAATGCAGGTTACACATGGGATGTCATTTGTAGTGAGTCTTTCTTTGTCCTGCCAGCCAGCTCCCAAATAACTACATGAAGACTTCTTATTAATTATGAAATCTTAGTCCATAGCTTAGACTTGTTTCTAACTAGCTCTTATAACTTAAATTAACTCATTTCTACTAATTTACATGCTGCCATATGGTTCATGGCTTGTTACCTCCTCTCCTACATGTCATGCTTCCTCTGAGTCTCCTTGAGATTCATCCTTCTTCCCTGGACCTCTGTGCCTGGAAATACTGCCTAGCTATTGGCCATTCAGCTCTTTATTAAACCAAGCAGAGTCACACATCTTCACAGTGTACAAAAAGATTATTCCACAATAGAGTTGAGATGTTTTGTGATAAAATGATCTTGTTTACAAGAAAAGCCTAGTGACTCCTGTCAAATTAGAACTCTATAGTATTTAGAACATTTTCCAGGGTTAGTAGGAAATGACAACATATATCTATGTTGTCCACTTTTAAGGAATTTGTTTAAATACCACAGAAGATCCCAGTAACCCTCCATGACAGTTAGGAACTATAAACTTAGAATTGCCAAAAGAAGAGCTGGAGAGCTAGCTCAGTGGTTAAGAGCACTGACTGTTCTTCCAGAGGTCCTGGGTTCAATTCCCAGCAACCACATGGTTACTCCCAACCATTTCTAGTGGAATCTGATATCCTCTTCTATCATGAAGTCATACATGCAGATAGACCACTCATATATAATAAATAAATTTTTGTTTAAAAAAACTTCCAAAAAATAATTATGTAGATGCTCTTGGTTTTCTGTAGTCAGTATTAATTTAGAGTTAGGTATCATATTTATAATTTTTATTTCTGAGACTATTGTATAATTAGAGTTTTTCCTTTGCATTTGTTTCCTCTAAATCCTTCCATATACTCCCTTCCCACTCTCCTTCAATTCATTACCTCTTTTTTTGCTGTTACATGCATATATATATATATGTATATATATATATGTTTATACATACACATTCCTAAATGATATCTATTCAGACAATGTAATGTTCCTTATATTTATTATTTCAGGGCTTACCATTTGTCACTGAACATCAATTGATGTGCTCTTCCCTAGGGAAGTGCACCTTTCCCACTGCTAGATTTCCTCAGTTTCCCATAGTTCTTTGTGCAGGGTTGAGGACTCAGGGGCTTCTCTCCATCCACTTTTGCATGTCCATTGGTGTTGTCACTTTGGGGCAGTCTTTCCTGCTTTCTTCCCATTTCTCTTTACCCTTTTATGCTTGGAATTACCTTCTTTTTAAAAACATTTTTAAAAGGTATTATTAGGTTCATGTTACTTTTATTTGTACAGTGGTTCTCAATCTACCTAAAGGTGTAACTTTCCCTTAATACATGTAGTTCCCCATGTTGTGGTGACCCCAGCCATAGAATTACACCGCTGCTACTTCATGTTGTAAATCTGCTACAGTTATGTATAACAATGTGAATGTCTCATGTGTGGGATATCTGATATACAGCCCCTGAGAATGGGTCATTTGACCTCCAAAGGGGTCATGGCCCACAGGTTGAGAACCTCTGCTCTAGCAGTTTTAAGTAGTTGATATCAAAAGTTGTTGATGGTAATGTGGGGTACTTATTTAGAAACTGTTACTGATCCAATTTCACAAAGGTAGACACCCACAGGTTAAGTGAGTTACCAAAAGACGAAGTTGGTATTCAGACTACACAGTACTGAACACAAAGTCCCTCCCCCATTAAAAAATATATTTTTTACTTTAAACATTATTTCTCTTGTTGGGGGAACATGATGTGTGGGAGATGTGCCGTGGAGCATTGTTGTGCCAGAAGACTACTCTGTGGGAGCAGCTGTCCCCTTCTGCCTTTACAGCACGCATTCTAGGATCCAACTCCTCTCTTTTGTTGCCATTGTTTATTGTACAGCTATGTTTATCATAACACTATTTGTTTAGGTGTCTACAAATAGAGGGATAAATTTTTAAAAAATATGGTAATATGTGATGAAGTTTTATTCAGTGATAAAGAAATACATGATTTTGCTATTTTCTTGGAAAATGGATACAACTTGAAATCATCATATTGAGTAAAAGTAAATCAATCTGAGGAAGGTAAAATTTTCTTTCATTTTCAGATCCTAGACTTAGTGTGGGTTACATAAAAGTGAACTCGTGTGCACGCGCATGCACGCACGCACACACACACACACACACACACACACAGAGCATGGAAACAGAAGGGAGGCTGAGTAAGGAAGCAGACTAGTAGACGGGGGGGGGATGGATAGATATGATCAAAGCACTTGAGAGAAATTGTTACAATGCCCAGCACTATCTACAGTGAGTATACAGCGTCAGAGAAGAGGGGGAGAGGGAGAATATCAAAGGAGATTTTCTACCTAGTCGTGGATCTTTACATATAAAAACATTATGGTTGTATATTTATAATTGTTCACAGATATAGAGAATACTTCCTCTTAAGTGTTCTGAATTTACAAATGGAAGCTTGGGCTGTGTTTCTGGTATCACTTTGCTGAACATATGCTAGAGTTCTTTTTGCTTTTCTTTAAGGGATTTGGATCCAGCTCATCCTGTCAGGCTTATGTGGGCATGTGCCTTTACCACTAAGCTATAGTCCTGCCCTCTCATCATTTCTGTCCTATTAGTCTCACTAAATATGTCACTTGTTATTTGAAAACTGTAGTTTTGATGGATACATAACTTCTTTAAAAGTACTCTTGATTCTTGACATAAGTGTTGTTTTATTTGATAATAAATTCCAAAAACTTTAGTTTTAATCCAGAATTTTAGGATTCTGGGAACTCTTACAAGTAAGTTTCTGATATTAAGGAGTAACAAAGTGTTTTAAGAGCTTTAAACCATACAAAATGTTTTTCCAGAAAAGTTTTAAAAATGTATAGGTTGGGTGCATCCCTGAATCCCTTACGGAAGTATTTTGCAATCTCCTATGATTGTCTAAACCAGACAGGTGGAAACAACAGTGCTGGCGGGGGCTAAGTTGCAAAAGAGAGCTTCTCAAAGCAGAAATGGTATACATCATTGAGGTCTACCCATTCTTAGGAGTAAACAGTACAGTTCAGATGCTCCAAACACGGTAAGTAAGTATATGCTGCAAATAGCAGAGTGAAGTTCAGGACCAGAATCTGTGCTTGGTGACATAGTCTGACTCTTGGGAGGTTTGGATGACGCAAGGGTGCATGAAATGGGCTTCGGAGAGATGTAGGATGCAGTATTTGGGTCAGAGGGGAGCAACTGAAACTAGGAGATCCAATACTCACTACAAGAAATAAGGATTCTAGTGTACTAGACTCGGAATCCTGTGAACCCCTCTTTTGTGAGTTTTGACTCTGACCTACGTTTAGGTTTTCGGAATAACTGTGAACTCTACTTTCACTGTTGATAGTACAATAAATATGTTCAAAAGAAGGACTTTCCAGATATTTAAAAACTCACATTATCAAGACTGCTTTATACCCTTGACTGAAACCAGAGGTAGTTCTGTTTATTAGTTAGAATATGGCAAGAATGTGAGCAAAATTTGTAATATGATTTGGGTTGGTGTAAACAGGCTATGATGTTGTAAAAGTAAATCTCAAACTTTCAGTGATCTATGTCAATAAAGGGTTGAGCGTGCATGCGCATGTGGGGGCGCGCACACGCGCGTGTGCACACACACACACGCACACAGTCTGAATCAGGCTGGCTACCCATCTTTGTGCAGTAGAGGTGTCAAGTCAAAGTAGCTGAGATAAGAAGAAAGCTAAGGTATTCAAGTAGACTTGAGTGCCTCAACTTGAAAGTGACATATACCAACACCTTGCTCAGTCAACTAGCCAGAATTGGAAACATGGTTCAAATCCAGCTGGCTGAGAAGCCTGGAAAATAAGCAGAAGAACACACAAATATTTCATGAATCCTACTGGTCTTTAATACATTCTTGATCCTGAATCTCTAAGCAGTATCACATCTTTTAAAATTAAACAAAATTTGCCAAATCTTCATGTTGCTTTCCTATATGCTTAATAGGCACTTGTATAATATACAATATACATACTATGTTTTGAAGAAATCAGAATTTTTGTCTTATCAATTCTAAGATCTCTATAAGCTGTTTAACTTCTCCAAACCCACTTCTCAGCTGAAAATTGAATAGTGATTTCTCATCTGTGGATATATTTTTAAAAAGTAGGTTGAGGATAGCATGTAAAACACTTGACATGGTGCCTAATACATGACAGATGTTAAACAAATGCAATTTTTCATTTTATTTTTATTTTAATTTCCTGTCTTATAGTAGGATCCACAGTATATTCATAATCCTCAGATTATGATATGCTCAGTGGGGACAAGAGGTACTTTTGCTGAGTTTAAATAAAATGTCTATTTCTTATTCTTGTAGATCATGGGGAGTTTCAAAGGTCATGCCCTCCCTGGAACCTTCTTTATTATCATGGGCTTTTGGTGGAGTACAAAGAGTATTCTGAAATATGTCTACAAAAAGCAAACTCGGACCTGCTACCTTAGTTCCAAAACATTTTTACGTCGAGCAGAGATTTGGGAAGGAGTTGTCTCAGTCTTAATGGCTCTAACTGGTGAGTTGACTATGGCTGTGTTCTGTTTTCTACTTTAGAGTAGTATTTCATGAGTGAGAAAAAAAATGTCAATACAAGATTGAAATATACTAAATGAAATTTGTATAAATATGTTTCTTAGTATTTATCCCAACTATAGTTTATAACTGATATAATCTTAGGATCATAATTGTACAAAAGCCTAATCCTTAATGAGTCTCAGTATTTAATTTGCCTATTTAACTAAGTGAATTTCCTTTGTATCACAAGTTGGAGCCCATGAAATAGTTTGATACAAGTTGTTCTGGTTCCTCAAAGATAAACTCCATAAAAACCATTTTGTACATTACATTAATCAAGTGATTATGGGAAATCTTCAATAACAAATCATTTTCTAAGAGATGATAGAGGAAGTCAGGGCTGAAGGAGCTCTTGTTCCATGTATATCCACCTTATTTCTTGGGCTGGACAGAGTCCAGCTCACTTTTAGCTTAGAAACTTTCCATTGCTATTGAATATTGCATTGAATATTCCTTAAAAAGGTTCTGCATTTTCACAGTAATGCGGTAGCTACTCTTTTGTAAATCACAACACTTTTTAATTTTTCCACCAGTTACATTCATGTTAGTAAGACTTTGTTATGACCATAAAATTGCAAAGTTACCATTTCCCAAGAGAGGAATTCCCAAGAGAGGCTAACAAGGCAGTGTCTAGAAAACAGTAACAAACCTGTCTACATGAATAATTAGCCCACGTGTAGAGTATACATGAACCATCCCTATTATTCTTAATCAAGGAAAAATCTAAATGATTCATTAATTTTGTCAGAAATCACTGAAAACACTCTATTTTGTAATAACTGCTTATGGGTGCAGTATCTAGAAAGAAAGTAAACATCCTTTAAATGACACATACCATAAATCCAAACCTACAGTTCATCTAGGAGTGAAGTCATTAAATTAGAGCTGTTGTTGAACTAAAGTTGCCATTGTTAAGGATATGGAACACTTGCTTGGCTCATTTGTCTATATATATTGATAAAACATGTTATCCAACAGCTGAACTTTTGAATCAAGTCTAAGTCACTATTGCTAGGTTTTTCAGTGGAAAACTCAGAGGGAGTAATCAATGTCATAATGTTAGAGTAAGCGATAAACCATGGCCCTATCTTCACACATACTAAGTAGAGTTAGGAATAAGGTTGCTGAAACTGTGGTATGTTCCTCTGCAGGTATGGCTGGGGAACAGTTTATCTCAGGAGGACCATACCTGAACTTGTATAAAGACGGCCAGTGGAACCAGCTTCTGGGCTGGCATCATACAACCATGTACTTCTTCTTTGGACTACAGGGTGCATCCCACATCTTATGTTACACTACCAATTTACTTCCAGTGTCCTTGAGCAAGTTAATGTTAGCAAATGCCATCTTTGTAGAGTGTAAGTATGAGGGGAAGAATATGTTTTCTGTTCTTTTTATTAATGGGCATTGATGTAGTGCTTTATAATAGCATGTCTTTTGTTTCTCTGTTTCGCCTTAATTGGCAGGACTGTCTGAACCATAGTTGAATATACAGTTGTCCTAGAGAAGACAACTATAGTCTTCCTTTCTTACATCTTTACAGACTAATTTAATAGATCTGGGCAGACACAGAAATTCAAAAAGCTTTGTTCACATTTCATCTTTGTCTTTAGAAATAATCTAGAGTGGGCACTTGGCTGTTGGTTGTAGTGGAGCTTATCATTCTCTTTACTTCTAACAATGAAAACTGAACTCAGAATGATAGTGCATGAGTTACTTGAAATGGTGCAACCACTCACAATAGAAGATGTCTACCAATGTCTAGTTAGCTTTTCAAATACCCAGAAACAGAAACTCTGACAAAATGTGGTATGTAGTGTCTGTTTGAAAAATGACTTCCTAATTTTGAGAAGTTAATGAAAATATCAGTTTATTTCTCAGGTTGTCATAAATGGGGAACATAAGACAAGTGTTTAATAATTTCTTATAGCTTTGTATGTATTTGCTGAGTTCCTTAAAATGAGACTTTGATTCAGTTAACTTATCTGTACATTCACATTAGTTATAGCTCCTTACCCTAGTCATGTTTATTATACATAACCCTACATAGATAACAATTTGCACAATAGTTGCAAGTTTTACAGTATGTCAGAAGAGATTTGGTCTTCCCTACGTAAAAACACATGCTATGGGAGTCAGTGGGGATTTCCTCTTTGGGGTAATTTTATGTTTGTATTAAATTCTGTAGCAGGAGGGTGGTACAGTGGAAAGCTTTGGTTTTATCAGAAAATATGTTTTGCCCTCTCTGTTAGCTTTTATCTTCTACAACCACACTCATGGTCGGGAAATGTTGGATGTTTTTGTGCACCAGCTTCTGGTCTTTACCACCATTTTGGCGGGTCTGGTTACCTTCATAGAATTCCTCACAAAGAGCAATGTTCTTCTGGAGCTCCTACGGTCAAGCCTCATCATACTGCAAGGGTCCTGGTTCTGGCAGGTGAGTTGTGACTTGGAGCTAATACATCTGGTGTCATCTGTCTGTAGTTTTTCTTCTTAATCAATGAGGCATTTGTTTGTAATACTTCCCTTCTGTGAGCATCAGAGAAGTGATGTTTTTGGAGTGACCTGGTAGTTCTGGTGAGACTACTGTCAGAGCAGCTGTGGATGAAGCAGGTAGTGTATTCCTTCCTTATGGGTCCACTTATCCTTTGTGTACAAATACTGAGTTGATGATTCTCATTGTAAGTGATTCCTGGTGCTAGAACAGCTTAGATCCTAATGGGCCATGAGCTCAAGAACTATGTGAAAGACGGAAGTGAGAAAGAGAGAAAATACTTACTAAGAGGCAACTCTGTGATGGCCACCGTGTGGGTTTTGTGTACATTTTATTTTACCTTTTTTCCCAAGAAAACAATTATCTCATGTTTTATCTTGCATATAAAGTCTATGTGTGGAATAAAAACATGAAAATACATTGAGGGAGGGAACTAGAAAAGGGGACCCAGTAAGGGGGGAGGGCAGGACAGGAGGGGAAAGGAGAACAACAAGTTATATGGTGTGTGTGATGCAAACACACCATGAAGCTCCGGATTTTGTGAAAACAGTGTGGGACTAGCAAGATAACTAATTGGTAAACAGTTCTCATCTTAGCATCCATGGCTCATAAACTCCTATAACTCTAACTCCAGGGGTCCAGCATCTTTGGCACCAGATGGTACCTGATCAGGTCTAGAGTCCCTGTCTAGAATTCTCCAGTGAGAGTCTGGGGGCATGGCTCAGAAATAGAGACCATCTTGTTTAATTGTATCCCTGTATCCTTACAATGATCCAATGGTTAGGCATTACCACCTTTAATTTGCCTATAGGCAAGACCAATATATTTCCTTGTGCCCAAACAATAATATAGCTAGCATCTAAATCTAGACTTCTCTAGTCCCAAACCCCAGATACTTCCCATTTTATAGCATCATCAGCTCCCTAAACTTGCCATGCTATTGAGACCATGCATTCAAACTGAATGTGTATTTTTGAGAGAACATCAAGGCACAGTCACGTTCATATATAGACATAAACAACGTCTAGAATGAGGTGAGGATGTAGTTTGACTAGGCCAGATTTTGAAGAGGAGATTTTTAGTCACCAGAGTTCCAGGATTTAAGGTGACGATGCTATTTTAGGGACTTGAATTTCCCATAAACACTGCTAAAGAATTGGCAGGGGACAGTGAAAGCTGTGTAGTGATTTAGATGGGATATGATGATACGGTTTCCACATGGGGAGATGTAGAAGAACTTGTGGTTCAGGGGCCAGTAAGGTAGGACTAGGTTCCTGCATTAGCTTGAAGTGAGCTTTATGGGAAAATGTTATAAAGACCCTATAAAGTGAACAATGTATTAATTGATGATGTCCAGGTCAGGTAGAGTATTAAACCTCCACAGGGAACCTAAATGGAATAAAGATGATGGTACATGCAAAACTAGTGTCCATTGAATTGCAGTGCCTTCCATGTGCATATGCTTGGTATTCAGACGGAAAGATGTTTTCAAGAGAAAACTTCAGGTCAACTTAACACACTGATCTTATTCTCCAGTGAATATTCTCTGCTATGGGCACATAACAAAAACAGATAAGATAGACAAATGCCTTCAGTGATTGGAAAATAAAAAAGAAATTAGAAAACATCCAACTACATTCAGGCAAAACAGACAAAAGCAGGTCTTAGAGTCTTGTGGGCCAAAGGCAGAAGAGAAGTACAAGGCTGGAGAAGTGCTGGGCGGGTGGCCTGCTGATGCTACTCCAAGGCAGACTCACAGTGATTGACAGCTGGTGGGGAAATACCAGGCTCTTGTACCATTTTCTGCTGGGTATGTATTTTCTGTCTAGGGCCATTTTCATCCATGGGTTTCCTGAAGTCTGTGCAGATTTGACATTACTAGAACGGATTTGTTGGATTCTTCTTTTCACTTTTTCTTTTGTTATGAAGCTATCTTTCATTCCTTTTTCTCTAATTTGTTTTCTTGATTAGGTGACAATTTCATTTATTTTTAATCTTTCTTTTAAAAAAACACATTTAAGCCTAGACATTATTTTAACTGTAATTTTTATTATTACATTTCTAGTGTGGTTTCATCTTTAATTCATGGGCATACTTCCTACTACCTATCACTTAGTTGTAGGCCCATGTCTAGGAACACAATTTTACATTTCAGAGTGTATCTTTTATACATATCACTCATTCCCAGTTAGTTACATTGTAAGTAGAGAATGTGTTTTCTTTGGAAGGGTGCTATGTCTTTTGGGACATAGTGTGATGTCAGTATGATTTCTCTGTGTGTTTGAAAAGGAATATATCACTTCTTTGCTCAGTTCAGGGTTTTTCATTATTTATCTTTTTGTCAGTGCATCAAATGCCTGAGCTGGCCAATTACAGAGAGAAAATAGTTATTTTCACACATGGTTTCAGAGGTCCTTTGGCTTTTAGGCCTAGAGTAAGTGAGCATACCACAGCAGGAAAATGTGGAAAGAACACTCGCCTCATGATTGGAAAGTGAAAGACAGAGGTAATGACCAGGGTTCCACAGTCTCCTTCAAGGATATGCCCCTAATGACCCAAAGGCTCCTTTAGGCCTCTAACCTAAAGGGTAGGTGACCTCAATAATGACACCATGGAGAGCAAGCCTCTACCATATGGACCTTGAGGACGTATGTATTATTCAAATTGTAACATACGTACATACTAGTTCAATTTCATTAAGGAATTTAATATTCATGTGAAGAAAGGTGGTAAGATCGAAAGAAGAAATCCAGAGAGTTGAAGAAAGAAATTACAAGATAAGATAGGATTGATAAAGTCAATTCTTATTTAAAGTCAACCGAGAACAAGACAGCTTAATGCTGCCATTTTGGGCACAAAAGTAGTATTTTCCTATTTTCAGAAGTTTTCTTTAAAAAAAAAAAACATGGGGTTACAATCTTTAGGGATAAATTTCTGATTATTTAGAAGTCTTTTAACTTATCAGTATGCCTAGATTGAGGCCAGGTGTCTAGCCTTGGGACCTTAAAGAAAAATTACCATTTTTAACCTGGGTAAATATATACTGACAGGAAATAACTGTTTAAACTAGAGTAACTGCCTCATCCTTTAATTCCTCTGAAATACATATGTTTGGCAACTCAGGGGAATGTCTTAAGCTTCTATGTCTTATTGGTATATGCAGTGTATGAACATTGATGTTCAAATCTCTTTCCTAAGCTAAAGGCATCGAATTGTGATTTGCTTTTTACCACTTCTGTCTCTCACCACATCTCCACAAATGGCCAACACTAGTGCCGACGTTATAGACAGACAGATTAGAGCAAATTGCACTTGTATTCTTGGAAATGCATGGATGGAGGTGTGAGCCGAATGAGGCAAAGGTGTGTAACTTAGATTGAAACGGTTGTGTAATGTGCAGACAGGAGAGAAAGTCCCCTCCTAACCTATAAAAAGTTATTTCCTGAATCATCTGGCATTTAAAACATGTTTATTCGATGACTAAGCCATTTTGTGACATTTAAAAAAAGAAGAGAAACTCCCTGTGCCCTTCTTCCCATGACAGTCTTTTCCCGGCTCCCTGTGGGAGAGCAGCTCAGAGGCTCGCCCCGCAGCGTGTTCCCACAGGCTCGCCCTGCAGTTGGTTTTTCCTTTGCTTCTCCTCATTGTTCACAGAGCACAGGACAGTCAGGCAGCGGGGAAGCTATTCTTGTTGCCTTTGCCTCCCCCGACACACACACATATGGACAGTTGCTTCCTGTGTATATTCTAGCTCTTGTCCCCGTGTCCCAAAGATTGCTCACAGGACAAGTGCCAGGATTCTGAGTCCAAACTGAAACTCAGCCTCATCTGGACATTAAGAAAAACAATATGGCAATTAAGAGCACATGCCACTCTAGCAGAGGACTGAGGCTTACTTTCTGTCACACATATGATGGCTCACAACCCTCTGTAACCCCACATCAGGCATGCAAGTAGTGTTCATACATATATGCAAGTAAACATTCATACACATAAAATAAAATAAATAAATCTTTATTTAAAATGAAAGTCCATTCCAAATTGGAGAAATGACTCACAGTAGTACTCCAAAGCATGTTTGGACTTGTAATATTGATGTAAATGATAATAATAAAATATATAGCGATATAAAATTAACACTCTAAACTATAGAAAATGGATCTCTGGCTTATCCCTTATTGGAGAAGAAAGTTAACTAGAGTTAAAACCTAATAGTAGTGCACCTTAAACCAATCAAAACACTTTTTATTGGAGGGTAGCATACAAAATACAGTCAGAATAATTCTTTCATAGATCCTTTCTCTTATAATTTTATAGTAGAAAACAAATTAGGATAGGTGATAAAAGTGTAATGTTCATTTTTAAAGATGACTGAATGTGTTTGTTAGTTTCTGGGTCCTTAGTTACATATTCTTAATTTACTTGAGTTTAGCTTAACGGATAGAATGTCTCTTGTCTCCCTCTTGGCCTTTAGCCATATAAGTAGCTTTCAAACATTAGCATGTGTGGTTTCAGCAAAGTATTCAGTAAGAAGCCCTCAAATTTGCCCTTGTTCTGATATAAAATAACAATGAAATAATAAAAAGCAGTAAAATCATTTATAACATGGCAGTTTACAATTTTCCATTATTTATTTTAATGATGGTAACAGTTCATTTTGGAAGTTTCGAAAAGCAACTGTGGCTTCTGGGTAAGATGGTAGATTAGGACCCCATTCTGTAAGATCCAGCAAAAGAGGAAAACCAGGGTAAAAATGAAGGACCCTGTCCCTAGCTGTGAGAGATGAAGCTGCAGGAAACAAGCCCACACAAGCTTTCAGAAAAGAAGTAGCTAGAAAAACCCACCAGCCAGTCACCAACCTCAACACACAGCTTGCACTGTGTGGTAGCTGGAAGTTGCTTTGTTTTCCCTGACTCCGCGCTACAGAGTCAGTGATCTGGAGAGAGACAGGCCAGGCTGCAAAGACACATCAGAGCTGGAGTGGGGAGATGGGGACTCAAGTGTGACAGGGTCCCTAAGGCTGATATTTTCCCGTGGGCACACTGGAATACATAAACCAAGACGGATCCACCTCCCAATTGCATAGCTACTGACTCCATGGGAACCTGAGAAATGAGGGGTAAACTGATCCAGGAATCTTGCCTAGGTCCATCTGTGGCCAGAAAGACACCATCTAGTGACAAAAGGAGGTATAGCAGGGCAGGCTTTCCACACTTTCCCAGTGCCTCACAGAAAACCTCATTTAAAAAAAAAAAAAAAAAATTCCCCAAACACCAGGTAAGGAAGTATTAACCGATCTATCAGAAGATGGGGTCCCACTTCAAAACCTCTGTCACCAGGTGGGTGTATCAACCTGGCTTGTGTGAATGAGACTGGCAGCCTGGTTCTCAGCTACAGGGGCTGAATCAAAGAGGTGGGAGAGAACACATCCAACCCACTAAGAAGTGACACTGAGTTGTAGCATCTCCATTTCACTTTATTTCATATTTTATTCATTGACTATTTGTCCCTTTGTCTTTAGAATTTGCAGGTTTCTACTTGTATTGCTCTTGGACCACACCTATATAAGTTTCTGTGTGCCGACTTTGGAAAACACTTCCCCAGGCAGCTTCCTTCTGGAAATGGGGAACCCCTTCAGCTTAAGCTTTCCCCCAACCCCCTTCAAATGAGCTTGGTTCTTCAGAAGATAAAGCCTCAGAGAAGAGTTTTACCCTCAGAAAAACCTCCCCATTGTCCTAGTACAGCACAGGTTTCTCTTCAGTGGTGCTGATTTCAACAACTACACTTATTTCCTCAGCACCAGCTGGAATGCTGAATAAGAAATAAGAGTTAGGAGGATTAGCAGGTGTGGCCTTGTTGAGCAGGTGTGGCCTTGTTGAGTAGGTGTGGCCTTGTTGGAGGAAGTTTGTCTCTGCTGGTGGGCTTTGTGGTTGCTGGGCATTGGTGGTATTCTGCACTCTGGTGTAAGGAGTATGGATTTTCCTCCCATGGCTGGTCTTATCCCGCCATGGCGCCATCCCCAATTAACACCCAGAGACTCTGTATCTTGTATAATGCCGTTGGCCAGGTGCTAGTTTCTTATCGGCTAGCTCTGTCTTAATTATTAACCCATTTCTATGTATTTCCACGTGGTCTTACCGGAGAGCAGGGGCAGCGATTCTGTTCTCTCCAGTCTCCCCATGCTGACTCCTCCTTACTACTTCCTCTTTCCTCCTTGTCTCCTAGTCCCTCCTATCTTCCTTTCCTATTGGCCAACAGTGCTTTATTCATTAACCAGTATGAGAAACATATATACAGAATGGTATCTCCCATCACTCTGGAGTTCGAGGTCAGCCTGGTTCCAGAGCTAGTTCCAGGACAGGCTCCAAAGCAATACAGAGAAACCCTGTCTCAAAAAACCAAACCAAAACAAAACAAAACCCAAGCCAAGCCCAGTGTCTCTCTGTGCTTGCCTGCAGATCAGGATCTAAACTCTCAGCTGCCCCTCAAGTCCCACACTTGCCGCCATGTCCCCTGCCATAATGGTAATTGTAAGAAAGCCCCAATTAAATGTTTTCCTTAGTAAGAATTTCCTTGTAAAGTAAATAACATTAAAAAAAAAAAAAAAGAATTGCCTTGGTCATGTTGTCTCTTCACAGCAATAGAACAAACAGAGACTAAGAAGTTGGTATGAGGGACTGAGGTATTGTTATAACAGGACTGACCATGCTGGGTTTTTTGGAGGAATATGAAAGACTTTGGGACTTTGGACTAGAAAGGCAGTTGGATGCTTTAAGTAGGGTTTACTGGGCCCTCCTACTAAAAGCGTGGAAGACAGAGCTGAGGATGATTTGAACTGTGGGAGCTCAGCTCAAGAAATTTCAGAGAGAAGAACATTAGTATTTTAGAGACCATTTATGTGAATCACAAAGGAACCCTGTGATTTAAATGGCCAGAACCAAGATAGAAGCTGGTATCATGAACTAACACTGAGCACAGATTATAGCAGGCAAAATGGGAGTGTACCTGTGTCCTCGCTACTTGGAAGGCTATGGCAAGAAGATCATTGGAAGCTGGAAGCTTGAGGCCAAACAGGGTAATTCATAGGAATCCTCTCTCTCTCTCTCTCTCTCTCTCTCTCTCTCTCTCACACACACACACACACACACACACACACACACGCACACACACAAATTAAAAATGTAAACAACAAAATATAGTATAGACCAGATGGCCCTGAGCAACATATAATTTGTAATGATTACATTTTGAGTTAGTTGCCAATATTTGAAACACAGGAAACATCACTAAAGTGTTTATTTTCTCAGCCTTCCTTTTTTTCAGTAAGAACAGAAGTATCTGGCAGCATTAGGCCTGCATTCCAAAGTGGCAGTCGTGGGTGGAAACATGTCTCTTCAACTCAACATTTGCGTCAGCTCCTGACAAAGAAGAGAGGCAGATCAAAGTTTTCTGTTTCTATCATGGTCCTATGCCCTTTATTAATCAACCAGTCCAGGGCCATGATTTTTTCCTCCAAAAATGTTATGTTAGTTGCAACTAAAAAGACACTTCTTAATAACTTTTCTCTGATTTCTTTATATTCCAGGAGACAAGATGCATTTGTTATTGATTTTAAGGACAAAACTCTCTCTACTATCTATCAATCATCTATTTGTCTGTCTGTCTGTCTGTCTATCCATCCACCCATCTATATCACGTGTGTGTTTGTGTGAGTGTGTGTTTATAAATCATTAGTTCTTATTGGGATAAAATTCACATAACATGCTATCTTAGTCAGTTTTCTATTACTGTCAGAAGTCTCCATGACCATGACAAAGGAAAGCATTTGGTTGAAAGCATTCAGTGTTTCAGTCCATTGTCACCACGGCAGGAAGGAAGCCTGGGGGCACGCAGGCAAACATGGTGCAGGAGAAGTAGCTTGAGAGTTCTCCATCCAGATTCCAGATCCACGGGCAGCAGGAAGAGAAAGACACTGGCCTGGCTTGAGCTTTTGAAACCCCAAAGCCCACCCACCCCCAGTTGACACACTTCCTCCATCAAGGCCACACCTACTCCACAAAGGCCACACCTCCTAATCACTGTCAAGTAATGCCACTCCCTAATGACCAAGGGTTCAAATATATGAGCCTATGAGGGAGGAGGGTTATCCCCATTCCAAACCCCACAAATGCAATGAGTCATTTTAATTTTAAATTTAACATTTTCACTGGACTGTGAACTCCAAAACATTTTAAAATTGAAAGGTGTGTGTCCTACAACTTTGGTGATATTTCTCCATGCCTTTTCAAAGCTAATCATGGATACCTTGCAGTTTTATATTGATTTTATGATCAGTCTTTTAAAAATATCTGTAAAAAACCCTCCTGGGATATTCTTAGCTTTTACTTTAACTCTGCACGTTGCCCTGGGTGTTTTTGCCATTTAAGATGGTTTTTCATTTTTGGGAGTTCTTGATTTCTTTCACCCACTTCATGCAGCTTCTGAAATATAATTTTGAAAGCTCTTCGATGTGTGTGTGTTCACGTGCTTGCATGTGCATATGTGGTTGTGTGTGCCCATGTGTGTACTTGCATTGCATGTGTGGCTGTGGTGCCTGGTGTCCATAGTGGTGCCTTACAAATACTAGTAAGATATCCTACCATGGAGCTATATTTCTAATTTTGTTCTTGAGTACTTCACTTTGTTTGGTGTTGGTCTAAGTATATTTTAAAAATCTACATTGTAGGGATTTCACTACATGTGTGTAAAAATATATGTTATGGTTTTGTCTTGATTTTCAATTTTCTAATATGTGGAACTCCTTCAATAGCTTTGATAATTGGGGGTGGGTTATTTATGATTTTCTATAATTGAGATCATATTATATGTAAATATAGATCATTTTATAATTTATTTTCCAAAATGAGTGACTTTTATTTTTCTTGCTTAAATTTCTTAGCCAGAATTTTCAATACAATGTTCAATTGATGTGATAATAAAAAATATCTTTGATCTTGAGGAGAAAGTTCCAACTCTTTGCCACTTAATATTATATTATCTTTATTTATTTAAATATATTTATTTATTTATTTAAAAAACAGTTTGCTGTCTAATTTTGAAATACCAGAGTGAGGCTGTGCAGTGTAGAGCTCCAGGGATTTCAGAAAGAGTGCCCAAGGCCAGAGTGGCCACTATGAACATTTTGAAAATTGATAATTAAATATACTTAATATTACTGTTCAAAAATATGCCTTGGTGGAGAATACATAAAAAGCTAGCGCTGTGTTTGTGACTCCTCAAATAATGGGAGTCATCTTAGTTAGCCAACATTTTGAAATGAGCCTTCTTTGAAAATGTGATTGAATAATATGTTATCTATTATTATCTTTTTAATGTGCATTTCTTTTGAGTTGCAGATTGCTTTCGTCCTGTATCCTCTCAGTGGAAGTCCTGAATGGAATCTATCAGATATTGAGAATAAAATGTTTCTTACCATGTGCTTTTCATGGCATTATGCAACAATCTTTGTCATCACAGGATTAAATTATGTTTTTATCACCTGGTAAGTTGGCACTTTAAAAGAAGTGGGTGGTTCATTCCTTTGCATATGTCCATCAAGACTTGACAGTGTTGAACTTCAAATTCAAAAGGAAAATTTTATTATTACCTTCTCATAACACAAACTAGGGCATTGGGAAGTTTTCTCTACACAAAGAAATGGCTGGCAAAACATGTACATGTTGACTTAATGTTGTAATGGTTTAGTGGTGTGGCTGCTGTACTTATGACCTATTCTCTATCCTACAGCATCCTTTCTGGACCTCTGTCTCTTCACATGTATGAGTCTCTATTCTGGAAAGCCATTTCCCCTATGTGCAGTGAGACCTCCACTTACTTATGGGTACATACTTTAATTGTCCCATTTTATAAACTTAGGGCCTTTTTTGACAAATGTGTATAAATCAAATTAAATAAGACGGTAACTCCAATTTTTCCAAAATTTGAATGATGCATTCTTTGATACAAGAATTCTGATCTAACTCTCTGAGCAAGTGAGGAGCAACATAGCGGACTGCTGAGAACACATATTTCTATTTTATTGCCTATTGGCTATGACTTCAGTCATTACTCAACCACAGTAAGTGTGGATCTTATTGTTTAATAATGGAGATAATAGAGCCTAAATGAGATCCTGTGCTTTATATGGTCCTGAAGATGTGAAAACTCACCAGATGATCTTATCTTCTTGTCTGTATTCTCTTCCTTTGGTATAAAAATATGAGGTGGAGACCCTTTCATGGGGAATGTTTTCGTCCTGTAACCAGGGCAAATTAGAGAGCTGGACAATTAAAATACAGGACAGTGAGTGGAAGCAATAAAGACAAGGAGCTCAAGGAAGGCTCCCCACAAAATGAAAGGCAATGTGAGCCCAAAAGATGCACAAGAAGGAAAGAGGATGATCATGGCTCCTAGGGTGGTTAGTGCCAAAACACATTGGGCTTGACTGATCCTAATTACTGGACATGCAGACTCTAATACTCAATTCTTCAGACTGAAGCACTGAGTAAAATGCAACCTCAGCAATGTGTATGTAGTATTCAGCATGGTGGACACCAGCTCCCAAGAACTTATAATGTGACACAATCCATATTAATTTCAGTTGATCCAAATACTAATATGTAGATAGGGCTGTACATCTTGCAGGTTCTCCAGACCCCTAGAATATGGAAGCTAGTTCTAAGCCCCATGGTTGGTCAACTTCTACTGCAACCAGCGTTGCATCCTCTAGGCATGGGCTCTGGGTCAGCCCTCCTCCTCTGGCTGAGCTTGGTGCTGGAGCAACTGTGACAATGGGTCTCCAAAAAGAAATAAGCTGTTGCCTTGCCCAGCTCCCAGGTGTCCCTCTTGGGCTTTGGAGCAGTTCACTTTGCTCTGTAGACATGTTCTTCCTCCTTCAGGTGATTTTTGTTCATTCTCTTCCACTCCCCAAGAGCATGCACATCAGCTCGTTGTTAAGGCTGACTGGGCTACTGAGTCTTGCTCTCTTCCCCTGTTGTTCCAGGCTGACATCTGGGCCTCATCTTCTTAGGGGCTGGGGAGTCTTCAGGAACAGTCCCAGGATGCAAGGAAAAACTCTGCTTCGTGTCAGCTCCCCTCCAGAGCCAACAGAAGACTACTCTCTCTTCCTGTTTCAAAAGCCTTCAGATGCCTAATAAATGGCTTATCCACTCACAGGTCCCTAGAAACAAGAAACTCCAGTTTTATTCTTCAACCTCTTCCAATGTTTTTACCAGACAGTTCCCTTTACCTGGTATATTCACACTAAATGCCCATCTCTTCTTTGAAACCTTCTATAATTCATTTGGCCCATGTTGCTTGTGTTTTCTGAGCTTCAGGAGTACTTTGCACACCAAGCACATAAGTTTCTTAGAAGTAACTCTTGCATCATGAAGCAAGAACAGAGACACACCTTGATCTCGATTTCCAAAATGCCCCCCATTCTAGTAACTGGCAATTGTGTCTAGGAATTCATTTATTCATTATTTGTTGTTGGGGGTGCTATTTTGAGGGGATTTTGTTTTTGAGATGGGGTATCACTGTGTGGTCTTAACTGGCTTAGCACTTTCTATATAGATCAGTCTGGCCATAAACCCACAGAGATCTGAATGCCTCTGGCTCCTGAGTGCTGGTTCACTGTGTGTGCCATCACACCAGGCTGTAGTTCTTTCTATTACCCTGGCTCTCACCCTGCCTCACAGGACCATTCTCACATGTGGTCTACAGATGCCTAGAACCCATAAAGGTGTGACTGCATCTGAGCCTGACTTACAGTCACAGCCGATACAACTCAGAGAAAAGGTAGGGGAAGCAGTAGGAGTGACTGGGTCTATTTAACATTTCATTTCCAGTAAGAAGGCATGGATTGCTTCATTTTCCACGAGTCTTCAGAATCGAACATAACTGATTAATCCCTTTCATCTTACATGGATTGACACTGGACTGTGTGGAAAGAATATGTGGGCTTTTGTAAGATGACACAAATGTTCTCCAGCCCTTAACCCATTACAGAGCACCAATTAGCCCTCATAAACGGAAGTGGCTTGGAGTATTCAGAACACATGAACAAAATCAGTCGTCAGTAATCAAGGCGAAGAACTGAGCAGGGTTTCTCGGCTGTTGAATCCACTGAAGTTCAAGTTCTACTCGGTTGCTGCTGTTTATTGGAGGTGTTAGTGTTAAGTGGCAGTAGCTGAAGAACTGGTAGCTCTGCATGTCAGTGATGGACCAAATGTGTCAATGTTATAGGTTAGAATCACTTCTGACTCCGGCTAGGGTTACTCCAGCAAATGGGATGAAGTCAGTGAAGTTCTTGTGACACATTTGTGTGGGACCCAGAGTGCAAGGAATGACATAATGTATGAATAGAACAGGCCAGAACTCAACTGGGAAAAGGAAGATAGAAAGTAAAAATCAGAATGTAAACAGGCAAAGGAATTTTTCATGAAGAGAAATTCAGCCCAGATTTGACATGTGCCTTCACTTGGTCTGTCACCCTAGGGAAGGGTTATGTACTTGGTTACAGAAAAAGATGATGTCGCTTTGCAACCCATAGGTAGTTGTGAGCTTGATGTAGATGTTCCACCAATGTCACACTTGTCACAGTCAGTCTCCTGCTTGTTTAATAAACGATCAGTTGTGCATAGCTAAGCAACCTCATAATACCTTTCTGTTTACTTAGACCTTGCTGTAGTCTGTACACATTTTCAGGTATCTCAAAGTCAAATAGAAACCATTTCACTTTGGAGACTGCCTCCACTTGTTGTAGGAATAATCTGCATATTTACTCTAAAGCCTTGAACCTTGGTATCATGTAACCAGAGATGATTTTCTTTTTCCCCAGGTTAATTAAATCTAGACTTAGAAAGGTCTGCACCTCGGAAGTTGGACTCCTGAAAAGTGCTGAGCGTGAGCACGAGTCGGAAGAAGAAGTGTGATTTTGATCCGGCATCACTCTTGCCAAAAGAGCCTTCTCCTTTTTCACTGCCTTTGCTCATGACTGTGTTTCTTGACATTTGTCTGAAGAACAGCTGTCTGAGTCTGACTCCATGTTATTTGTATTTACAGTTTTGTTAAAGTGTTGGACTTCAAATGTCTCACTTACAGATTTGAAAGTGCCTTGGTAACAAATTTCCTTTGCATGTTGGGCATGCCACACTGCTCAGGACCAACCACCATAATTTTTCCAAAGTCATATGTAGCTTTGTGTCTCTACTTATGAGAATGGTTTGTTTTTCCTGATGAATATCTTCCAGATTCACTTGTAATTCATTAAATGTTAAATTTCACTTATCTTGTTGCAACAATGAAAAATAAATGAATGCATGCACTTTTGTGCAAAAACCTCAAATCCTCATTTTTTTTAATTGAAGTATTTCCCACCCATAAGGTACAGAAGAACCTGCACGTACAGAAATCACTTTTCTTGAAATATTTCTGTATGGAAAACTTGATGAGCTTTCTAAAAGGGAGTAACATTAAGACACATGGTTTTAAAGATGTCAGAGACTAGTAAAGGGGCATTGTGATATTAGCATAGCCTCGCATGACCACCATGCCATTTGCTCTGTTAAACAGGGAGAGTATTAAACAACATGCCTTTATACCAGTAGTTCTCAACTTGTGAGTTGTCACTCCCAAAAAAACCAACAGAAAACACAGATATTCACATTACAATTCATAGCAGTAGCAAAATTATAGTTATGATGCAGCAATAAAAATAATTTTATGGTTGGGGATCAGCACAACATTAGGAACTGTATTAAAGGGTCACAGCATTAGGAAGGCTGGGAACCACTGCATACAATCCTAGGTTTAAAAGTCACAGCCTGTGCCATGTAAACCAAGAAACTCCCAGTGGTGAGTTGATGGGGATTGTCTTTCTGTACATATATTTCTCTTATTGGTTGATGAATAAAACACTGATTGGCTGATTGGCCAGGCAAGAAGTATAGGTAGGGCTAGGAGATGAGACAAAGTCTGGGAAACGTTGGTAGATAGTCTTCATGTAGAACCAGGGAAGAGAGAACACACAGGGCATTCTCCAGTAAGCCAAGACCATGTGGAAATACTTAGATTAATAGAAATTGGTTAGTAATTAAGATAGAGCTAGCCAATAAGAAGTCCAACCCACCGGCCAACAGTTTTATAATTAATATAGTGTCTGTGTGTTTATTTGGGGCTCAAGGGCCACGGGACCAGCTGGGACAGAAAGCTCACATTACAGTGAGTAGAGAAAAATCATTCATATAATTCTAGCTCTATCATTAACCACTCCACATTTCTCAAAAATAAACACATCTTCCTCTCTACAGTTGACCTTAGACAATAGGCCAAAAAGATGATTCTTCACTATAAAGGACAGGGATTAAATTGACTTAATAAGCATTTACTTATTATTGACTTTAATAAGCATTACTATCACCTTTATATGAATCTCAGATGGAAACAAGTAGAGAACTAAGCTAACACAATGTTAAACAGAAAGGCGTAATGTAACAGAAAAAGGAGAGGATGCAGGAGTCCTGAGACATAAGCTAAATATGGAGGAAGTTACATAGCCTCTATGCCTGGGGAGCTGAAACACATACAATGAAACCCAGAAAGCTCCCTGGCATTCCAGAACTCCAGCAAGCCCAGAAGCTGCCGCATTGTATACACACCACAGGGAGAGAGATCATTGTATTCTTCAGGCCTAAGAACCAGAGTATTCATTTTGTTGCACCTAAGATTTTAAAATGACAGGTGTGAGTGGCCAAAGGTGTGCCTTGAGCAATGAGAGGGTGGTGCACTCTGGAATATCAGGTACTAATGTGTCATGGTCCCCTGGGGACAATGTTCTGCTTGTGTGTCCCAGAGTTAAGGGCCCTTTTCTAGTCTAACAACATTCTGTGACTGTGGAATTTGAGTTTCAAAGTCAGTCAACAGTCAGTTGCGCTTAGTTGCGTTAGATATCTTGATCTAACGAGCACAGACAAGGTTAAGTCTGGAAGTTTGAAAGCCAATGAATACAAATCTTCTACTGCACTTATGAGGACACAGAGATAACTACTTCTCCAGGCTTGAACTCAGAGAATATAAGTAAGATGCAACTCAGGGAGTTCACAGACATCTGGTTCTCAGACCAATTTTGGGAATGTCTTCATACAGTTCCTGAAATAAAACTTTTCTTGCAATTGTATGGTTATATTGTTGTGTTTTGTGGATACTGTTTTTGGAACAGCATAAAGAACTTATTAAAAATCTAGTAAACTGGGATCTCAAGCCCCAAATAGGAAAGTCCCTTCCCTCTGTGCCAGGAAGTCTCAGTCCATCCATAGAAGCCCAAAAGATTTTGGTTTATCAATTATCTATTTCAGTAAGTTGTTCAAAATAATGACAAATATAACACAGTATAAAGGGTTTTCTACTATAGAACATAGGATGAGGAAAGTTAGCTCATCAGCCTGTGGGGTGGGTAGAAATGAGGTCACTCATTCAAGGGGTGTTTATTATTCCATTTCCAAATGCTAGGAAGTATTCAGAAAACTAAGAATACAATGATGTCTCCATCAGATATACATTCCTCGGGTAGAAACAGACAATGACATCATAAAATATGAAACTACAAATCAAGGTAATGAGGAAGAACAAAGAATGGTGAGGTGCATTGGTGACATTTTGCCAAGGGTCCTTCCCCAGAGGTCTTTCTATGAGCTAAAAATGGCACCCATGCTCCATCCTTATGTGAAATCATGATGTTTATGTCTCCAAAGGATTAGACTGTGCCAGGACAAGACTCCATCAAGGACAGAGATGGGGATTGCCCCCTCTCTTTACTCCCTGCTTTCTACCTAATCATGAACCTAAAGACTCAGTTCCTGAAGTTCTGCCTTATTCCCTTCATGAGTATCTCATGCTACATCACCATAAACCAAAGAGGAAACCCTGTAAGTCAGTCAGCAGGAGTGATGTGCTGGCTGAGCAGAGAGGAATGTGAGTGACAGAGCAGTTACCACTTGAGTTAACCTTTGCTGTTAGTGGGGCACCAGCTCCTCCACGCTCTTTGTAACCCCCAACTTCCTCACCCTAGCAATGGCGACATCATACTGCATCTTGAAATGGGAAGGCCAGATCCTGACTGCACTTTTACTAACCTTGATGTCACTCCATCTCTACAGGAGATTATCAAAGTGCGTATTCTACCTAGAATATGGACTAATTAGGTGAGGCAGCAATCACTGTATTCCAGGAATAACCAGAAATAAAATGAAGTAAGGAACTCTCCTAAACACGTGTAAACGATTGCTGGAAATGATAAAAGGAAATTAATATGCATGGTGAATAGACCACGTATTCTGTTAAAGACAGATGAAAAAAGGAAAAGGAATAGAAGACAGGCAACTAAAATCTGAATTCCCTCCAAGTAAATGTCGGCGAAAAGATGTTATTGCTTTAAGCTTAGAGAAATATGTTTGTAGGAGCTGTTTAATGGGTAGAATGATTAGGCTTCTAGATTCACCCACTTAAAAAAATTCTCAAAATGGAGTTCTTTTATATAAAATTTGAAAACACCTATTTTTATTTTAGTATTGAGTGGGTGGGGACCCAACTTAGAGCCTTTCATATGTAAGGTAAGGACAGTAAGGTAAGGAGTGGTACTTCCAATCTCTATTTCAATTTTAAGCACAGAAAGCTTTAACTCCCAAGTTTTAAGGTGTTTTATTTTGAGAGTTAAATCATTCGATTTTTCTTTAATCCTTAAAACTTTTTTATAATGGTCAACTAGATATTTCACGTATCTTCATTGTCACCAACAGACATGTTTTCATAAGCCCGTATTGGTTTTACAGGCCTAATTTATTAAACATATACATAAAGCTGAAGAAATTTAAGTCTTAGTGAGTATTCCAATAGTGTTATTGACCTGGTGAGATTTTGTAGAACTGTGGTCCCAAATTTGTTAATCAATTGTACATCTGTAAACTGGTTATTAATCTGAACAGTCAAAATCATTTTAAAGTTACAGATGTCTACAATGCTGCCCATGTCTTAGACAGTCCTTTAACACAAACCATCAATGGAATGGTTGTGATTACTTTCTGTCTGTACTTTATTCTACACTAAAGTGGGCTTGTTGTGAAGGAGTGAGTTTGTTTATGGCTGACAATGTTTGTGAGATATTTAAGCCGAAGGTAAATGGAACAGAGTTCTTGACAGTGACTCTCATAGCATAGAACATAACTGGAATTCAGTTTGTGCCAGGGGTCAAATCCTCCACGCAGGTTGTGTTCCAACCTTCTGTGAACAAGGTGTGCACTATCTGTGTCCAGTCATGCAGCTTTTGATGTCACTCGAGATTGCATTATTGCATTGGCCCTTGAGTTTAAGCCACTGTAGAGGTGACAACCTTCCCTGGAAGACAGATTTATGCAAAAGACCATTCTTACACAGGAGGCAAGAGGAACTACAAAAAGGAGAACCTGGTTCGAGCCTTGGCTCTCACTCTGTGGACATTACATGTTCAAGAGGTATTGTCAGGCATACAGGCACCTCTGTGTGTTGGCTGCTCTGGGCTCCTTTGGCAGCCTACAGGAGAACAGGCACATAGAATGCTCCCTCAGAAAGGTGTTGTACACAAAGTTCCCCGAATTGAGAAGAGTGGAAGGCTATCCCGATTAGCATGTGTGTTTAATTATGAGATTTAAATAGTCTTTGAGGTACAAAGACTTGTGAACTCGATGTACAATTTCCACCTGTACATTTCCTATGTGATAGGATCATTTACTTGCCTATTAAAGTGATATATCTTGATGACTCACAGTGCACTCTCTTTTAAATTGAACCAACAGTGAAAAGGGTAGCTATCAGGAGTTTTACCACTAAATGGCTTAAAGCAGATCTACCTACATGTGTTGAGGTTGTATGTGACTTACAGAAAAGAGTCTATAACTAAGAAAATATTAAAATGAAAGTAAGAAATTGCTCCTTATCTGTTTTTCCCCTCAGTTTGAGTCTCCTAATGTCCTAAAAGGGGGATGGGGATAAGGTTTGACTAATATTTAGGCGTGGTGCTGAAACCATTCCCTATTGTGTCTGAAGCCAATGTGCATTGAGTCCAAAACATACAAGGGACAAGCTTGTGAAACTAAGACAAGGCCTTAGCGATTTGGGATACAGCAACATATTACCAGCTTAGAAACAGGTTCATGTTTCCCTCGTCTCTTAGAGAGAATTTAAATCCATTAGTTTTGACTCTGAGAATTAAAATTAAATTGATTTAGCCTGATTTGAAATTCAATGCCTTATATTGTACTCTCAGCCTAACAACTGAACATTTATTTTGTTTGTATATCTGCATCTTATTAACCA